GAAGGATTCTGCCTACGTATATTGCACTGAAGTATCCAGTTTCCTCAATAAGAGATATAAAGGAGTATTTATTTTTGAGAAGTTGAGTATATATAGAGTGGAGCTGGACTGATTCCTAGTTCTTCCTTTAGTGTTGCAGGTACGATATTTATAAGGTTCTAAAAGGACAAGGTAACTGTGAGGCAGAGTTCCAGTATAAACAGTATAAATATGTATACATCATAATTTTCATTGTTTAAAAATTCCAGACTATGGACTTTAATAAACCTAGGAACTTCACAAAACATTCACCATTAAATGAACAATTAAAACTAAAAAAATAAAACCAATCCTTCAAAGCAATTACAAATTCTAAACACAAACAAGCAACAGAACCTAATCTAAAAAATCCACCAATGTTCAAATAAATAGGGTTGCCAGCTCTGGCTGAAAAATCCCTGGAGTTTGGGGAAGGTGGAAGGGAGGGAACTCAGTGGGGATATGATTCCATACAGCCTACCCTACCAAAGCTGCCATTTTCTCCAGAGGAACTGATCTCTGTTGCCTGGAGATGTTGTAATTCCAGGAGATCTCTAGCCACCACCTGGAGGTTGGTAGCCCTATAAATGAAGCAGACTGACACCTGAGACGTGAACCAAGACTATTGCTGCATGGAATTGCATCACACAGAAAATTTTATGGAGAGTTCTCTTCTGAGATTGTTATAGAGAATCATGGAATATGACCCTTTCTTTGAAAAACCTGTGATGTGAAACGAGACAACTAATCAGCTAGCATGCTCGTTGGAAATACTTCATGGAATTCCTGACCCTACGTTTTAACCGTCTGTTGTGGATCTTGCATCTGGACAAGCTTTGCCTGTTTCGTCCATTGGACTTTGATATATATGGACAATTGATTTTGTACCTGGAATGGACATAGAATTGATGTCTTTGTGATTGTATCAGCAAATAACCACTACACAGTGGGAGTGTACATTCTTTATTCAATACAGTTTATTTTGTATACAATTATACACAGTTGTTTTGGTTTCTTTGATTCATATACTGTGTAAGTACCGGTTTGTTCGATTTTCTCCAGAGGAACTGATCTCTGTTGCCTGGAGATGTTGTAATTCCAGATCTCCAGCCACCACCTGGAGGTTGGTGGCCCTATAAATGAAACAGTCTCTGACACCTGAGACATGACCAAGACAGGCCCAGGAAAACATCCCTGCAGATATCAACATTTATGTACTCTGTTAAGTCCACATGGAAATAAAAAACTTTACCTCATTGCTAATTAGAACAGTTCTACAGTTCTTCAGAAGGCCGTAGGTGAAGGAATTTCCTTGGCAAAGTGAATTCCAAAGTCTGTCCCACATTCTTAACTGTCTCACTTCAGGTGGGTACTCAAAATAGGCCACCCATGGTAAGGAGATATTCTTAATGCCTGAGCACAGTCTACATAATTCAAAAGATGCCACACCTTTTCTGGGTCCCGACTCTATGATACAAGTTCAGTTGAATACCTCAGAAGTCACTGAGGTGACTTCCCTTCAGCAAGACTTTGTGGACCTTGCAATATCAGTGCTCGGAAGAACAAATGGTTAAGGTAGTTGACTATTATGGGTTACTTTTCTACTTACTGAGTATTTTTTAAATGGAGGGGAACACGCATGCACAAACATGATTCCTGTCTGGGGTTTTAAGTGGTACAGTCTAGTTTACTAGCGCATTCTCTATGTAGATTAGACCTCAATTTCCTTTGCATTTCCTCTCAGGTACTTACAAATACCATGCTTATACATTCACTCCTCAAAACGTTTCTGAATTGAACAGCTATATTATTTTAATTCATGGTGCTTTAAAAACTAACTTAGAGACACACATGATTTTTACTTTTCTTCTTTCTTGCATTGTTCTGCAATAAGTAGTGCAAGCTATTTACTCAGCTCTGAGAAAACTAGTATCACCTGACTCACCACAGCCAAAAGGATTGAGAGAAGCAGGTTTTGGATTTCTGCCACTGCAAGTGCTTTAAAGAGAAAAAGGAGTCTGAGTCCTGGCATCAAAGTATTCTCAGCTGATATGTTGGTAATCGGCTCATTACAAAAGCACCACAAGCCTCCTTGTGCTATTTTTGCAAAGGAAACTGAGACTGAACAAAACCAACTGATCTGCATGATGTGTGATCCCCTAGGGTCTCAGTGAGAAAGGTGGACAATAAATAACGTAAACAAATAAGATAAACCTGCCTGTGTTCAGAATGGGGAAAATGTGTAAAACATTGTGGTCAGACTCTTTCTCTGTTGAGGAGGCAACTTAATTAGGATTTTAGGATTTTCCTTGGTACTTGGTGGCAGCCATACGATGGAATAAAATTCGTACACCGTCCCTGGTTCCATAATGAAAACAAAAGAATGTCCTTACAATGTAGTCTTGTGCAATTCTGGTTACACCCAGTAGAGGGAAGTGTGCCCCTCCCAAAATACAGCATGAATAAATTTAGAACAAGAAAGAATGTGCCACTGAGTCGCAACTGACTCATGGCAACTCCAGCCTAGGGGTTAAATTATGACGGGTAGCCGTGTTAGTCTGTCTGCAGCAGTAGAAAAGAGCAGGAGTCCAGTAGCACCAACCATGGTGAGTTCAAGGCAAAATACAAGGAGAGGTGATTTTGCCATTGCTTACTTCCGTGTACCAATTGTGGCTGAGTACACTCTGCTTAGTTCCCAAGCCCTGACTTGCTTGGCCAAACCAGGATAAAGCCCTGACTAGCTTGGGCCAAACCAGGATATTCAGGATGGTTTAGGACCAGAAATGGAAGACAACCAACCTGCTTCTAGGAATATCCAGGGCAACTGGGGACAAGTAGATTGGCCAGCGGCAGGAGTATGGGAAGGAAAATGCCTCGGGCTTGCCCTTCCATGGGCCCAGCAACTTGTCTGGAGGAAAGACAAAATAAAACATACAATCACAAGCACACACTCTTAATGCTGCCCAAAATTTAGCCCAAAAGTGTACCAAATAATGTGTTGTATTTCAGTGAGATATGCATCTGAGCTAGTGTGCTGTTGTCACTGTCATCAGATCATGACCGGGGAGGCCCATGAGTTCAGTTCCTCTCACTATGATTGAAATTAAATCCATCAAAGATGGAGGTCCTGTGGCTGAGACGAGGAAATCCCACATTGGGATGCTAATTTCTAGCTCTTGACAGTGCACTGTTAACACCAATGCCACTTGTGAAGAGCTTAGGTTCGTTTCTAGATGCCTCCCTTTCAATGGAGGCTCAGATCACAAACACTGCCAAACTGGGATTTTTCCAGGTCAGGCAACTAGTTCCCTTGCTCTCTTGTCCTGACTTAGCCATAGTGATCCACGCAACATTCACCTCCAGGTTAGACTACTGTAACTTGCTCTATGCAGGACTACCCTTGAGACTGACCCAGAAACTCCAACAGGTCCAGGATGCAGTTGTGCATGTGCTTACAGGAATGCCACTTAGAGCCCAAATATAGCCAGTGCTCCACCAGCTGCACTGGCTCCAGGTTGAATACTGGATCAGGTTCAAGGTTTTGATTCTAACCTTTAAAGCCCTACATGGTCTGGGATCGTCTCTCCTGGTATGACCTTCAAAGAGCACTGCGCTCAATGGATAATAATCTCCAGGTGATCCCCAGCCCCCAAAATATTTGTTTAGTCTTAACCCAAGCCAGAGTCTTTTCGGCTTTGGCCCCAACCTGGGGCCATGCTCTTCTTGACAAGATCTAGGCCGTGCGGAATTTAATGCAGTTCCACAGGGCCTGCAAGACAGAAATGTTTCATTAGGCCCACAGTTGAGGCAACAAGGTTTCCATCTGAATTTCCGTCCCAGCCCTTTTCTCTGCCATCTATCTTGTCAATTGCACCAGCTTATTATCCATTGACATGCTTTGGACAAGTTATACAACCTTGTGCCTGTGTAGGCCATCTGATTTGATTTTTTAATTTACTGTTGTGAGAATTGTTTTTAAATTTATAGTATTTTAACATAAATAATAAATTATGCAGTTTACCGATCTCCACTCTTTTTCAGTCTAAAACTATCTCAAATGGGATAAAATACGAAGGAGGAGGTTGTCTACACCTTCTCGAGCTCCATGGAGAGTGGGTGGGATAAAATCTATGAAATAAAACATTATCTAGGGTTTTTCACGAGCAGAGAGTTGGTTCCATCCTCCCCCTCCCCGTCACGTCGCAGCTAATTTATAGCGACCCCATAAGGTTTTCAAGACAAGAGACGTTCATAGGTGGCATGTCATTGCATGCCTCTCTGTAGCAACCCTGGATTTTCTTGGTGGTCTCCCATCCAAATACTAACCAGGGCCATCCCTGATTACCTTTCGAAATCTGTGGAAATCAAACTACCCTAGGCAGCCAGTTCACAGCCATATACGTTAACACAGTCTAAATCCACGGCTTTCAATTGGTTTAGATGGGAATAACTGCATGGGACTGGGCTGTAACCAGTGTTCCCTCTAAGCTGTTAGTGTGAGCTAGCTCACAGCTTTTTAGCCTCCGGCTCACACATTTTTGTCCTAGGTCAGGAAGGATGGCTCCAGAGGGCCGGGGCAAACTGATTTATGCAGTAGCCAAATCGCTCGCTTACAGCTTTAATGAAGGTAGCTCACAGAGTAGAATTTTTGCTCACAAGACTCCACAGATTAGAGGGAGCATTGGCTGTAACTCCGCAGATGTAGGAAATTTGGTCTAAACTTCGGCATCAAAAGTAACCAGCAAGTTTTGTCTACCACCAGACAAAGGAATGTTCAATCTAGTAGTATTACTTCATGTTCGCTGTCGATTTTTAATCCGATTTTTTCCCTACCGTCAACCCCTTTCTTAGCGGAACGCTTCTTTTCACACTGACGTGGCGGAGGGAGTGTTTAAGGCGGACGCTCACCACAGAGAAAATCTTCCTAGAAGGAATCCGAAGAGCTTACGGGTTTCTTGCTCAACTGTATGTGGCGTGGTTGCTGAGCTTCATTCATCTTGACTACATCGCTGTCGCGGAAAAGCAAGAGGGGGAAGGTGAAATGTTTTCCTTCCTACGGGCTCCTTTTCGTGGGACAGAGACCCTTCCCATTGCCTGGCGTTGTTCTTTTCTTTACGTTGCGATTTTAGCAGTGATGTTGTGAGCTACTAGAAGTTCGGTTTCCGGCGTTCGAAGGGTCTTTAGAAACAGGTTTCATTTTAGACCCTCACAAAGCCTTTCTGTAATTTGCCGCTTTTAAACCGCACCACAGCTTATCTCAGCTATTTATTACATGTTGTGATTTTGAAAGTTCTGTGGGTGATAGAAAGTGTTGCAGATGCCTCGACATCAACACACATTGCTTTTTAATCGACTTATGCTTTCCTCACATTCTGTAGCTCCAGTATAGCCAGTGCACCAGGATGGTCATAATGAAATGCGGCAGTTCCTACAAGACCACAAGATTCCAATACCACCTGCCAGATATTGCCAGATACTCTTACAGTACAGTCCTCCTCAGCAGAATTTCATCCTTATATCCACTGAAGGATTAGAACAGAGGCCCCCAACGTGGTGTCATGGTGTCTACTGACACCTTTCCTGGTGCTCACCAAGTGTTTTTAGAAAGTGGGCAGGGTCAGGTGAGGCTATTGGCCATTGTAGATCTGATTGGCTGTGCAGATTTTTTTAACGCTGCTTTGGCAGCGGCTGCTGCCACAGCAGAGATTTTCACTGTGTGACTGAAGATAAGCTGCATCAGCCATTTTGTGGCTGGCTCCACCTGTGGCACCTATTTTGTAACATTCGTTTTGTGGTTGCACCCACCACACTGTGTCAGAATTCCGAAGTCACCCAACAGGCTCAAGAAGGTTGGGGACCCCTGGATTAAAAGGACGTAACAGTTTAGGATTGCACCATCATGGGTATTCTTCTGTATAGGTTCAAGAAGGAAATATCTTCTTTGCAGAGTCCAGTGAGACCTGACTTAAACATGATGAGAAACATCTCACCTGTTTTGCATTTGAACAACAGCATCTTGTTTAAACTGTGCCGCTAAACATGCAAATAGTTAGGCATTCTTGATTTGTACAATACACCGCCCTCCAAGACTAACTAGGTCATTTCCTTGTGTAGCATTCATGCAAATGCAAAGCCCTGTGTTGCCTTGCTGTATCATGTTTAATTCAGGCCTCAGATACAGCCCCTCAAAGGATCAAGCCTCAAGTTAGTGTATGTGTTTTAGCTAATTATTTGTTGTGGCCTCAACATCAAGAAAACATTTTGAAGTGTTGTTTTAAACTAAACTAAGCACAATTCTTACATTATGTCAATGTTTTAACCAGGAAGACCTGGGCACAGAGAAATGGATGACGAACCCGAAAGAACCAAACGGTGGGAAGGTGGTTATGAAAGAACATGGTATGTTTGCCTTTGCAATATCATTTTTAAAAAAGTTTAAGAATTACAATCTGTGTATTGGATGTGGGTACAAAACACAACTCTTTTTGCTTGTAGGGAAGTGCTTAAAGAAGATGAGTCTGGATCATTGAAGGCCAGTATAGAGGATATTCTTTTTAAGGCCAAGAGGAAACGGTAGGCACTAAACTGCACAACAGCCTTGTAAACAACTGAAGGCGGCAAGACTTGTGATATTCTGAAGTAATTTGCATCCCAGTATAATTCCACAAGGAGAGGCTGCAAAATTCTCTGTATTCCAAAAGTATGCTACTTAGACTGAAAATATTTTAACCGTCCCTTGTATGAAATATCGCCAATCAGATGACTGTAGTAATGCTCTGTCATCCATAGTTAGAAAATTGTTTTTAAAAACTCGGTATAAACTATATAGTGGTATGTAAAAGAGTAGTAATGTCAGTGAGCTGAGTATGTATGCCCAGAGAAAAAATATATGCCATAGATACATATTTGTGTATGTCACTATCTTTGGCAAAATGAACATGTGCCTTCTATGAAATGTGTGGCTCATGCCTTTGTTTAAATTTATTTTCATTGATTTATTAAAATATGTATATCTTGCCTTTCTTGATGGTTTGAGGAGGCTTACAAATCATAGCTAAAAGCATCACAATTTAAACCAGCAGACTAAAACCCCAAATAATCCCCTTCCCATAAAATATACCTGCAATTTTGTACCCCATTAAAAGCTCTGGCTAATGAAATGGCCTTGCAACGCCTCCTAAGTACCTCCGTAGGAACTGCAATGGAAGAGGCACAGCTCTGGTATACCTTGACTGGGGCAACAGCCAGTAAGTTGTAGCCTGAGCACCATAATTGAAGCATGGGTATATATGGTAGGAGACTGTCCTTTGGATATGAAAGAACATATATATATATGGGTATATGGGTCCTAGGCCATAAAGGGCTTTAAAGCTCTTAATTAACAACTTGATTTGGATGCTGGCAGCCAGTGTAGCTGTTTTAAAATAGACGAGATTAGCTCTTCTTGCTTAGCCTCTGACAATAATCAGGCGGCCATGTTCTGAAGCTGCTGAAGTTTCTGGCTTGTCTTCAATGACAGCCCAACATAGACCACATAATAATAGACCAACTGTGAGATTGCAATAGCGTGTATATATTGAACTGAAGGTTTTTGAGTAACATGAATTAATTTAATTGTTAACTTGTCCATTTCTGACTGGACCATAACCTGTTTTACCTTATAGATTTTGGCTAATATGTTTGCATTTTAAATTTCCTTCTAGTTTTTGGAAGCAAATGTAAGTTTTTGGAGTTTATACTAGCTTTGCAGACTGTATGTCATGAAATTCACTTACCGTTATCTCTGAGCATAATTATTTCTCCTTCCAGAATCTATGAACATCATGGACAAGTTCGACTTGGGATGGTAAGATTTCTTTTCCCAATTTGTTCTAAATTTAACTTAGCTGCCTTTGAACCTATTTGCAGTGAAGTGGTATAAAGAAATGAAATAAGTCTGGTTCAGAGGATGTTAAGGACAGTGACTAGACATATTTTTTTTTCTTCCCGGGATTACAGATGGTTGTAAAAAAGACTCAGCTACACCATCACTCAATACATTTCTGTTTTAGAAGCTGGATGTTTTCTGTAGACTGCTGATATTTACTATGAAAATATCATTTTAAGTCCATAAAATGATTTTGGATTGCTACAGAAGTTTTTTAAAAAAATCTTTGTATAGATGCGCCACCTGTATGTAGTGGTCGATGGGTCAAGGACGATGGAAGACCAGGATTTAAAACCGAACAGGCTGACTTGCACCTTAAAGGTATTTATTTTTTCAAAATGTATTCATATTTCTTCATAATAATGCTAAATCAGTACCAGTGGTAGGCAGACCACTGGTATTTGAGCAGGGTAATCAAAGTTTTAAACCCATGCTCAGCCATGAAGTTCATTAGATGACTTCACTTTTAATTAAATATGTGGACTGGGAAGTTAATTTTTGCAAGAAAACTTATATTGCTTGCTTATTTAGAATCAGTGGTCCCTTTAGGTCTTATAAATCCAGTGCTTAGATCAATCTTATATTTTGCTAATATTTCCTGTACATGCTTTTTAAATAACAATGGTTGAGCTTTAAAAAGCATTTTTTTGAAGAATAGGTCTAAAAATGATTGTGGAAATACTTAAAGCTGTTTCATAAAATAACTTCAGTGCTAATGGTTCTAATTTAACATTTCTGTTTCTGTAGCTCTTGGAATATTTTGTTGAAGAATACTTTGACCAAAATCCTATTAGTCAGGTAGGTACAGAAGTTTCCCAGAACCTGGGTTTTTTCTGGCCATAACACATTTCCCCCCTGAAACATGCTTCTAGTTTCAATTACAACGATAAAGATAAAAACATATGAAGCTGCCTAGTGCTAGGACAGATGTAACAACAGCTCTCCCAAGTTTTCATATAAAGGACTCTCCTTCTGCCTTAGTTCCTGGGGATTGAATCTGGGATCACTTACATGCAAAGCATGAGCTCTTTTGGTGAACAATGACTGCTCTCTGAGACCATTTAAAATATGCAGTCTCAGTGCAGCAGTGACTTGGAATGAGATTGTAAAGACAAAATACAAGCAGGTGCACTGTATATGTTGTACTAAGAAAATAATCAAAGTTCTGCAACTGGTATACATTATGCAATCTGCCAGTTTGATGTAGTGGTTAAGTGTGCGGACTCTAATCTGGGAGAACTGAGTTTGATTCCCCACTCCTCCACTTGCAGCTGCTGGATGACCTTGGGCAAGCCATAGTTCTGTCGGAGGTGTTCTTGAAAAGAGCAGTTTCTGTCTGAGCTCTCTCAGCCCCACCTACCTCACAGGTGTCTTTTGTGGGAAGGGGAAGGGAAAGGAATTTGTAAACCACTGAGACTCCGAGTTAAGGGTGGGTTATAAATCCAATCTCTTCTCTTCTCTCTTCTTCTTCTAATTTATGTTGCTTCTGATGTCCACAGAGAACGGCAGAAGCTGCACTGAAGTCCTTAACTATTGGAAATCCTACTTTCCCCCCTCTTTCCACCAACTTTTGATTTTGCCTGTCATCCCTTTCTTTCAAGCTTGTCTTTGCAGCCCTAAGAGAGATAAAGTAGTCTTTTTACAAAATGAAAGTGGAGAGTCTGAGGACCCTAACACTTGCAATATAAAATTAGAAAATTCTATAGCATAGTTCTGGAATGAATAACTCTTTGAATATAACTATAAAGCAGCATTGAGCTGTATATGGAAGAAAGGTGGCTAATAAATATTTTAAATAAAGAAGAGAAGAAGAGATTGGATTTATATTCTGCCCTTCAGAACCCGAAGGAGTCTCAGAGTGGCTTACAATCCCTTTCCCTTCCCCTCCCCACAACAGACACCCTGTGAGGTAGGTGGGGCTGAGAGAGCTCTCTCGAGAACTGCCCTTGAGAGAACAGCTTTGAAAGAACTTACTTGTGACCCAAGGTCACACCAGCAGCTGCATGCAGAGGAGTGGGGAATCAAACCTGGTCCTTCCAGATTGGAGTCTGTGCTCCTAACCACTACACCAAACTGGCTACTAAATATTTCAAACATTTTCTTAACAATCTCATATTTTTACTGCATCTTGTGCCCAGCTGTAGCAGTTGGGGAGACATAGCCCACATTAAAATATCTTGGCTGCAACTCTACTGCACCTGCCTTGTTTACTATGTGTTTTCTTGATGCTGTCTTGGTTTAGGTATATGGGGTTACCTCTTGAAGCCCTTACAAAGCCTGGCTAGAGGTCATTACTAGTATGAGCTACTTTCTCCACCGTGGAATCTTACATGGCGAGCCTGTTTCATTCCAGCCTGCGGGATAAAAGCTACTTCCACACTACCTGTTTGATTATGACATGGACATCACTCACTCAGTTGTTTTGGAGAGTCCAAATGATCTGTTGCTAATTTGGTATATTCTAGTGTTTTCCATCTTTGCACAGCTCCTGTGAGACTTTGTTATGCTATGAAGCCTATTAACAGCAGGCCTCTTTACTGCAGGTTGGCATTATTGTAACAAAGGGTAAAAGAGCTGAAAAACTGACTGAGCTTTCAGGTATGATAAATACATTTCTTTTATACTAAGCAAAGATCAATGATACCACCTCTTTCTGTGTGGACCATCATATAGTTTGGCCTTTTGGGTCATTCTTTCTGATTCAAGTAATACTAATATTTATTACTTTGCTCCTAAATACATTTTTAAAACACAATTAATGATGTATCAGACTTTTGTTTGCTCTGTGGATAGGTAGAGGATGACCAGCATTTTAGAAAACATTTTGTCCATGACTTTTCTACCTTCAGTTGCATACAAACAAAATTTCAGCGGTTTTTGGATTAATTTATAGGGATGGATAAATATTTCTTATAGGGAATCCAAGAAAACATATAGCTGCTCTGAAGAAAGCTGTAGACATTTCGTGTCATGGAGAGCCATCGCTATATAATGCCCTAAATCTAGCCACACAGACATTAAAGTGAGTATCCATAGTCTATTTAAACTTTTTTACTAGGACAGAAATAGAAGTTAATTCTGATCATAATCATGCTGAGGAATAATAGAATTTTTTTAAAGAATGTTAATGCTGGGCAGCAGTATTTCATTTGAAAATGCCACATGTAAGATGTTTCTGGAGGGTTGTTCGTCTTGGAGCCAAACTACGTATGTCTTCATCCTGTCCTTCCTTCCTTTTCCAGGATCTCTGAGTAGCTTATATGGTCCTCTGTTCCTACATTTTATCCACAGAGTAGCATTGTAGGTAACTTAGGCAGTAAGAGAGTGACTGGTCAGCCTTGATGGGACCAAGACTCCCTTACCACAATACCGTGCTGGATGTCAGGGCTGCCCCATTAGGGGAAGCTGTTTTTAACCCTTCTGCCTCTAGTGTCCTTTTTCCAATGGGAATCTCCTTTGGAGCTGCTATTAGACATGGTGAGTGAGAGAGAGAAGGGCAGATACATGGAGCCCTTCCTCCTCCTCCTCCTGCAGCTGCTTTTTAATGTTACGGAAACATGACGAATGCTAATCATGTATCTTCCATGTAATACATCTGGCCTTTGGTTGTTCTAGATTGACTCATATCAAGCTGCAGAAATATTCTGGCAACTAACATGCACTGAATGTATTTTGAGGAATGTATAAGATAGCGTCTTTATGCTCTAAGATGATTCCTTTCCTTTTCTTTTCTTTTGGCTGTCATCTGCCTTGGCTCACTTGCCAACTATAATTTGAGCTCTTTGTGTTTAAATAATATTTTAGAGGGAGCTGCTAAAACACAAGCAGAGGCAATTCCGTGCTTTGTGCACAATCTCTTGTATGTGCATCAGAGTCCCGGGGGACGGGCCTGGATCTGTTGCTTTTCTGTATAAGCAGTAGTTAGCCTTAATTTATGTATTTATTAGGTTTTTATCCTGCCCTCCCAGGCAAAGCTGGCTCAGGGTGGCTTACAGAACCAGAATAAAATTCTAACAGTGCACATAAAAGCACAGCATCAATCAATATAATGCAATGTTAAAATCAAACATAATAAAGTGCTAGTAAGTTTAATTCCTCGTTTCACAGTCAGCTCTTTGATCTTCTTCAGCTGGTGATTAGCTCAGGCAGTACTGAAGGGATCCAGCAGATCAGTGCCTTACCAACATAAGATGTTAATTATTGGTAGTGATGGTAGTGCTAGTGATGGTACGAGTGGTGGCGGCTCCAAAAGCAGCCAATGTAAACAATATAACCTGTCACTCTTCACTAATTTAAAACTGAGAAGTCTGCCTTGGATTTGACTGTTTGGTGCCTGTTTTTGTAACGCGTGTAAATGAATGCTTTCTTACTCTCTGCAGGCACATGCCAGGACATACAAGCAGAGAGGTTTTGGTAATATTCAGCAGTCTAACAACATGTGATCCTTCTAATATATACGACCTAATTAAGGTACAGAAGTTAAAACATATTTTGTCACAGAAGCCTGAAAGCTTTGTGTGTTTAACAGTTTTTTTAATCTGTCAGTATATGTTTTCTTTTTCTTTCATGTTAAAGTGTTTAAAGGCGATCAAAGTCAGAGTGTCTGTCATAGGCCTTTCTGCTGAAGTTCGCGTTTGCACTGTTCTTGCTCGGGAAACTGGTGGTATGTATGTTTTTAATGATAAGAAAAATAGGGCTCCAGAGAACCATAAGCAAAGCTCCTCACAGGAAGAGCTCTCCTGATTTCCTCTTCTACTAGGGGACTTTCAGAAATTATATGGGATGTGATGAGGAAAGTTACAGCTGGAGTGGAAAGAATGTGCCTCCTATTCTTGAAAGTTTGTGTCTGGAAACAGCCCAGCAAATGCTTACACATGCAAATATGGGATAACGGATGATCCCTCATAAGACCTAGTTTCCTGAATTTGCAGATGTTATGTTTTTCACTTCCTTGTGACTTAAATTTCTGATTTGAAGTCACGTTGCAAAGTAGTAGCTTAACTGTTTAATGGCTTATCTAAAATAATTGATATAATATATAATTTGTTTTCCTTGAAATAAAGTAATTCCAAAATTGGGAACATTATATTTAATGACTTATGCAACAAAAGTTAAACTTGCCTTATAGCTTGTATATTTTGACAATGGAAAATGGTGGTAAGGAGCAGATGGTAACATACCTATATAAAGTAAAACGAATAATAGAAACTGCCTAAATATTAAAATCAAAGAAACTGGTCATAATACATAGTTTATATGCTTTACACAAATAATTCTATAGAGGGTCATCAAAATTATTATTTACTTCAAAATCACAAGCTTCTTCCGTAACATATTAATAAGTATTTCAATTATTAACATATTCTCAATCACTCTAAAAAATAGTCTCACAGCTTACTAACAAACAATCTTAGTAGCTCACCTGCCCAAACATACCTGTGCTAATAATTTGTGACTTAAAAGAGGAGGAAAAGTCACTTGCTTTTGTCAGATCTCCTTACTGGCTACCTGGAGGCAATGGTTACTTGCCAAAGGTGGCAAGTGAGTATCTATGTGCAAAGCTGCTCTCAGTACACTTCTCCACCAACTAAACCTTTTTGTTCTTTCATGTGCGGCAGGAACCTATCATGTAATTTTAGATGAAAGTCATTACAGGGAACTCCTGATGCAGCATGTCAGTCCACCACCTGCCTGTTCAAGTTCTGAAAGCTCCCTTATTCGAATGGGTAAGAAATATATTTTAATTTCCAAATATTTTGCATTTGAATGAGCCTGGCAGCACTGGATAATCTATTTATGTGTTGAGTGACAGGCCTCTTGCATAGGTTTAATGGAAAACAGAGCCTGTAGGTTTTGTGGTACAGATGGAAGTAAAGGACCCATCCTCTTCAATCACCTCCCCCCCTTCTTTGCAGCCCCTTCTCTCTGATCCCGGTGCCCAGGCCGCAGCCGGAAGGAGAACAAGGTGGCCACAGAGAGCTGCCGCTGCCATGGCAGCTACCCTGGAAAAGAACAAACTGGCTAGAGTGGAGTGGTGGCAGGTTTGATCTGTTTTGTCAGTGGCCAGCATGCCCTCCTGTGGGTGCCTTGGCAGCCTTACTCTCTGCCCTGCTGTGCCTCCTGCGGAGGAGAGAGCAGGAAGGCAGAGAGGGAGTCTGTCCTCTCACTCCAGATGTCCAAAGCTCAACGTGGGTGGAGAGAGACAATTCTGCAAAGCAGAGGTACTTTAGTAATAAAAAAGCTTATATATTTACTATTAATAGTTATATCATATTATTGTGTGTGTATGTCTGGTGAGGTGGCTCACGGGGCATACAATAAGCCATGTGGCTTTGTTAGTTGATGATTTTATATATTCAACTTCAAGTGTGTTTTGTTTTGATTAATATAATTGTAATACATTTTAAACTAATAGGGCGAAGGTTCCGTTGAGGTGTGTTACCACTCCAGGCCTTGGCTCTGCTGTCAGCAAGGAGTGAGCCAGAAAAAAATGGTGATTGTGCTCAGGCATCAAAGCAGTGCGTACAAAAGTCTGTTTGATGCCGATAGGCAGCTGGCTCTGCCTATCATCACAAGGAAGAGGCTGGACTTGTCAGAGAGCTAATTGGCCACCCAGAAATTTCTTCCGTCACTATAAAACAGGCTTTCATGTTTTCCTTTCACCTTTGAATTAAGGAGATATGCTCTGTTAGCCCAGTTATTTTTAGGTGCGTGTTAACTGCTGTGTTGAATCCAGTGGTAATTTCCACTGATGGACAAGATTGCCATCAACAGAGCAGACTTTCTCACCTGCCTTGCCCTGCTGTAGGCCAAAATTTTCCCTGAAATGTTGCTTCCGGGGTATAGGGGGACCCCTAAGAGGCCCATGAGGGGCAAGTTGGGTGTCTGCAGTGAACAGACAGAATTGGAAGCCAACCTCCCTTCCTTCTACTAGCAGAAATCTGGTGCTGCATCCAGCTTATTATAAAGCAAGGACTTGAACTACTGTGTACTAATGTATCATTCACAACTTCTCAAAAATTAAAGGATGTGAATAGTTGTCTGGGTTCCTGGGATATTTCACTCCAGGTTGCAATATGTGAATGCAGACACAGAAGCAGTGATAACAATAAAGCTTTGTAACAGAGCACCTTGTTTTTTTTCTCTTTTTGTCCTTAGGCTTTCCTCAGCATACTATCGCGTCTCTTAGTGATCTGGATGCAAAACCATCATTTAGCATGGCGTGAGTAAAATGTACTAGATGGTACTTGAGTCACAGTCCCAAAAAGATACACGAGAGCATTGGGAAACAATTATGTGTGCAGCCAGATCTTTTTATGAAGTCTGTTTTAACTGTAGGAGTGGAAGAAGGGAACAGTTGTTTGTCTCTTCAGTTGCTGGAGCTGCTGTGGTGAAAACACCAGACTTTTGACTGTGCCTAAGACTTTTCTTTGCTTGCCCTAGAGTTTGGCCGTAATTTTGGTTGCTACAGTCACCAGAATGTTGGGCAAACTATTACCGTATTTTCCGGCATATAAGACGACTGGGCCCTGCTCATCAGTGGGACTCAAAGCAGCTTGCATTATTAAAACCAAAAAAAAAAAGGTCCCATTCTTACTGACTTAAGTGGAGGAACTGATCATCCTTGGTGTGATGATGCACGTGGGGTAGAGGGAGTCCTGCAGACATGAGGATCCTAGGTCCCGAAGGGCCCTATGGGTTAACACAAACAGCTTCAATAAATGGGCACACAATGTAGTGAACTTAAACTGTCAACAGTCTAGCAGCCTTATTCTGCACCAGTTACAGCTTCTGTGTTTCCTTCAAGGGCAGTTCCACATAGAGCGCATTACAGTAGCCCATTGTTGAGATTACCATAGCATGGCACTTGCAAAACAAAAGATTCTAACGAGTTCAGGAAGCCCTCTAATGCATATGTGGCTCACCGAGCTGACTGTAATGAGGGCTGGGAAAGAAAGGATGAGGAGGAGCATTATCTGCTTGGGTGGCGGCAGGAGTAGAAGCGGGGGGGGGGAGTGAGAGCCCTTAGGCAGCAAAATGTATTGAACCAGTGCTGCACATGCTAAATGTTTCTGTGTAACATATTTTAGAAAACTGTGTTATTCTTTTATAGGCACCTGGAAAACAGCAATGAATCAGGTCTTACTTTGGGAGGGTATTTCTGCCCGCAGTGCAGAGCCAAATACTGTGAGCTTCCTGTGGAATGCAAAGTGTGTGGTAAGTAACAGTGCATTTGTGTTTATTGACCAACAAAATGTCATTCGTTATGGAGATGTAGGAGCATAAAAAAATAGGTCACAGAACTATCTGGTATATGCCATCTAGAATCTGAGGAAAGTGGCTCTTGACTTTGAAAAGCTCAACTTGCAGCAAGTTGTCTGGACCTCTGTTTACTTGGATGATTAAAGTGTTCTGGCTCCCCTCTCTGCTTAACCAGCCGTGGATCAGTTCCTAGTTTGCCCTAATAAAATCTCACTCTAATGGGAGTGTGGCTCAGTTACAGAGCATCTGCTTAGCATGCAGAAGGCCCCAGGCTCAATCCCTGAGATCTCCAGTTAAAGAATCTGGCAGTAGGCGATGTGAAAGACCTCTACCTGAGACCCTGGAGAGACCCTGCCAATCTGAGTAGACAGTACTGACTGTGATGAACCAAGGGTCTGGCTCACTATAAGGCAGCTTCATATGATCAATGTGCTGTAGTCAGTTGTGACCCTTTTAAAGGGAGGCATTTCTGTACAGATGGAATGCTGGCTTCAAGATTAGGGTACATATGTAGAACGTACAAATGAAATAAAGCGTTGACATCATGGGTTTGATGCAAGACTTGTTACATTATTTGAAGGTCTGAAGTTGATTTGGAAAAGTCGGTACAGTCAGATCTTGTCTAGATTCAGAGTACCTTGCTTGCGGTGCCGTGTGAAATTCAGTTCATTTGAACAGACCTCTCCTAGCTTGCTTTTCTCTTGCATGTTATTGAACTGGGAGGTTTTGAATATAAATGAGGAAATGACAGTACAAATTTGAATTAAAGAAGTATTATGGCAAGTATTTAACTTGTACGGGAGGTAATTTACAGATGTTACAGACTTGTCAGAGTGGGAACATCCTTGGATTTGAGAGTTTAACCACCATTGGATCCATCATTATTTTACCATGTGTATTAATGGCTCGGAATACTATTTGACATCATCTGTGTAGAGGGCAAGGTGGCAAAATAGTAATGGAAAGATGTCATTTCCAAAGATTAATTCCTGAAGTAAGATACTATAGAAGTCACTCTGTAGAAGTCTTAAACATTTGTCAATAGATGCTGATGTCGCTTAGTCCCAATGTGAATGCACTCTGCACATGCTTGAAAGTACTTTCATTTTCACTGTTCACATTTTTCCTGGAGTACAAATTGAATCCAGGGATAAGTCCTTGTCACACTAATCCCTATGTGTTTTCAAAGTTGCAAGGGAAATAGTATAATTTAAGCTACACCTTGTCTTCATCAGACTACAGTTATTGAGTAGCTTTTATAAGATGCCTTTGTTCAGATTTCCTGTTCCAGTACAGGACTTCCTAATTCACCTCCATCTACAAGAGGTATACAAGGCTTCTACTTGCCCCCTTTTTTTGTTTTATCTTATATTTAAGCAAGTTGATCTCCACTCTTTAAAATGTAGATTCCTGTCCTTCAAAATTAGCTAATACTAAATCAATAATCTGTTGTGTGCCAACACTGTAATAGTTATTTCTCAAAATAGATAGAGTCTTTCATGGCTGCTCAAAGAATTTTCTAAACATTGCAGGAATGAGCATTTGGAAATCAGTTATGATAGAATGTAAAGTACTGGTCTAATCTAATAGAAAAGTTCAGTTTAAATGGCTGGTCAGCTGCTGAAAAAAAGTTGAATTTTATAAGCATTTTTATGCTTCTGGTAAATGCCGTATGTATTTGCAGTGGACTTGAGCAAAGTGGGGCCCATGCAGATGGACAGTTTTATTATGCCAAAGGTGGGCAGTTTATGTCATGCTGCAGCTCAGGTTTCCCAGGCTGGTAAATTCCGTATGTATTAGCAGTGATCGATCTAGTTCAGCATCCTGTTTAATCCTGTGTCCAACCAATTGCCCTGGAGGCCCAATAAGCAGGGAGTTGAGGCTGAGGCCTTCTCCTGATGCTGCTTCTTAGCACTGATATTCAGAAGTTTACTGCCTCTGATTATGGAGGTTCCCCTTATTCTCCATGAGACTAGAAGGGATTTTAAAGGAATATTGTTAATTCAAGGTACTTGTATTAATAATACAAATTAATAATGGATTGTATTACAGAGCTGAATACAGTCAGTTCCAAATAGCTTTTTTGGAGGACATAATTGTGGTGTGAGTAATGTGGATTAATATGTAAAAACTGTCATTTAAAGACAATGTGCATGATTCTTCAAGTATAATTCCTTGGTTAACTTTTTTTAGGTCTTACACTGGTATGTGCACCTCACCTGGCTCAATCTTATCATCACCTATTTCCTTTGGATGCCTTTCAGGAAGTCCCGGTAGAACTGTATAAAGGAGAACGGTATGCAAAGTTGCTTGGTGCAAGCAATGTAAATTACAGGTCTTTCCCCCCAGTAAAATAAATTGATACTTCAGCTTTGTATAGCCAGGCAATTGCAGTTCGCCACCTGTTTTGCCTCTTAAAATACCCTGACCCTTTCATGTACAAGGTCCCCTCTCTCTCTCATTCCACAGAGACACCACCAGACAGAGTAGCCCAGTCCCTATTAATCACCCCTCACTCAAGACACTGCACAGAGCTGTTGGGGATTGGGACTCAACAGTCACATGCTGCCACCATTTACTCATATCCTAATATATATTTTAAAAGACTGAGATCTTAGTTTGTGTGTGTGCACACATGCTTCTTTTCCCAAGACCATACACATCCAGCCCACAGGGTTAAACAAACAAGGAGTTAACTTTTATATGTACAGTCTGAACGCAACGTTGGACTGCATAATTTTATTAACCTCCATCATGTCTTCCCTTAGTCATCTCTTTTTTAAAACTGAAAAGTCCCAGACTCTTCAGCCTTTCCTCAAAGGGAAGGTGCTCCAACCCCCTAATCATCTTGGTTGCCCTCTGTACTTTTCCAGCCCTGCAATGTCTTTTTTGAGATTCGGTGACCAGAACTGTACACAGTATTCCAAATGGGGCTGCACCAAAGATCTATAGAGAGGCATTATCAGCCATTTTATTCTCAATCCCATTCCTAATAATCCCTGACACAGAGTCTGCCTTTTTCACTGCTGCAGCATACTGGGTTGACACTTTCACTGAGCTATCCACTACGACCCCCAAGATCTTTTTTCCTGTCAGTCTTAGCCTCTTCTTGAAGCTGGGATTTTTGTCCCAGTGTTGATCACTTTACTTTTACCAACATTGAGCTTCTTGTGCCACATTGTTGCCCACTTGCCCAAGGGGTGGAGGTCCTCTTGGAGTTCTTCACAGTCAGCCTTGGTTTTCACCATCCTGAATAATACTGTGTTACCTGCAAACTTGGCCACTACACTACTCACTCCTAGTTCCAGATAATTTATGAATAAATTAAATAGCACTGACCCCAATACAGATCCTTGTGGAACCCCACTGCTTACTTCCCTCCATTGTGAGAACTGTCCATGTATTTCTACTCTTTGCTTTCTGTCATTTAACCAGTTTTTAATCCGTAAGAGAACCTGTCCTCTTCTCCCGTGACTGCTTTAAAAAAAGAAATCACTGCAAAGAACCGGTTCCTTGAGATGGGAGCCAGTTTGGTATAGTGGTTAAGTGCACGGACTCTAATCTGGGAGAACCGGGTTTGATTCCCCACTCCTCCACTTGCACCTGGCTGGCTGGTCTTGGGCAAACCATAGTTCTGATAAGAGCTGTTCTTGAAAAAGAGCAGTTTCTGTCAAGACCTATCTCAGCCCCACCTACCTCACAGGGTGTTTGTTGTGGGGAAGGGAAAGGAGTTTGTAAGCCGCTCTGAGACTCCTTTGGGTAGTGAAGGGCGGGGTATAAATCCAACCTCCTCTTCTTCTTCTTCTCTTCAAAGCATCAGTTAGACTGTTATACATTTCATTCTTCAGAGGTGTCACTCATCACTCTTGAAACATGTTTCTGGTATTTGAGAAGCTAGTTGGGACTATCCAGTATCTTGCAACAAGAATAGTGGCTGCTGTATAAATTTCCCAACATGCTCAGTTTGCCACAAATGTGCAGTAGGTGTTTACTTGTGTTCCTAAATAACTTGGTAAATTTTCTCTTTTAAATAGCTATTGTCAAGGTTGCCAAGGAGAAATCAAGGATCAACATGTAAGTATGTAATATTCAGCATACAGGTTGCATTGTACTGGCTTTCCCTTAAAGCAAGTCATCTTTAGGAAATGTCTCTTTTGAAGAACATGCCATTTTGAAGAATGGCCTGGTTCATCAGTTTTTTTACTGAGGCCTCACGGTTTAGTAATATGGTAATATGCAAGTATGCAAATGGTTATATTGGATAAAAGGTAGATGATGAATAAAAAGCACCTCAACTTTTCATCAGTTTTTAAAATTAAATGTATAATGACACATGGACTTTATTCCTTCATAGGTTTTAAAATGCTTTAGATAATTCCACAATAGATAAAGAGCTGAAATTTGGTGCATGTGCAAACAAGCTAACTCTGTTGACTGGAAGAGTCTGAATGTGGGACATTTTACACCTAATGTTTCATACATATGATGTGTTAGATTGAAAGCCATCTTCTAGTAGCAGAAGGAATTTGTCAGTTCTCCCTTCCCACTGCTGTCTCCCGCTGCACACATTATCCTGTTCCTAAGAAATTTCCAGTCTCCCAGGAGCAGCAATGGACTGCAGTAGGAAAGGGGATGTGGGAAAAGACCCACTCTGCCAACAAAGCTCTTCTTTTAGTCTTTTGGGTGCAAGCTGTGTAGAATTTACCTTGTAATAGTAGCTGGCCCTTCAGCAGAGAGAGTAAGCCAAGCTAGACATGTAACAGAATGCAGGTATGTGGGAGCTCTCCCGTCCTCTATTAAGGGCACAGAAGGAAGAGAGGATTGCAGCGATAACCAGGAACGTGTTTATGCTTGCATAATAGGAGTAATATTTAGTGTAAAAGGTAAAGGTTCACTTGCTCGAAAGCAAGTCGAATCCGACTCTAGGGTTGCGGTGCTCATCTCAGTTTCAAAGCCAAAGAGCCAGCGCTGTCCGAAGACGTTTCTGTGGTCATGTGGCCGGCATGACTAAACACCAAGGCGCACGGAACGCTGTTACCTTCCCACCGAAGTGGTCCCTATTTATCTACTTTCAATTTCTTGCTTTCGAACTGCTAGGTTGGCAGGAGCAATATTTAGTGTACACACTCTTAAAAACTTGATTCAAGTTTGTCACAAACTCTTTACTGCTGTTTTCTATATAGTGACAAACACTGATGTATGTCCACTGCTACATAGTACAGGGCTGCAAAAACTATGGTGGCATCTAAGGCACAGAGGCGTTTACAGTTCCTCAGAATAATGCAGTGTTGTTTTGTGCTGTGATGTAACACTTTTATATTTTAAATCTGTTCCCTCAGCTCTACATTTGTAAAGTCTGCCAGAACGTGTTTTGTGTGGAATGTGACCTTTTTGCTCACGATATTCTGCACTGCTGTCCCGGCTGCATTCACAAGCACCCTGTTCCTCCCTGTCTATGATACCACCGATTGCTGGACTGTACTTGTTACATTCTTGTGCAGAAAGTCGACTTTGTCTATTCAGAAAATGTATTTGGCAACATACCTTAAAGATAAAGAAGAATAAATTATTTATCTTTGTGGTAATGAGCATTTTATTTTCTCACCAACTCTGTAATACACACACAAACATATACACAGCCTCATTTATTTGATATTTGTAACATTTTTAAAAAGTATTTAACTTTCTTTGGGTTTATTCTGAATAATGTGCCTGTCTGTATTTCTGGAAGTCATAAAATGGACACATGTACTAAACTTATGGTTTCTGTTTTCATGTTTTTAAAAAAAATATATTTTCTTAACAAGATAAGAAGGACTGCAGTGCCCCTTCTCGGCTCTTCTGAAGCTTTTGTAATGGAACAATTTCTTATTCCGACCAGGCCCGTAGCCAGGATTTTTTAAATTCGGGGGGGGGGGGGGTTTTAAATAAGTCAGGGGGCACCCCACCCACCAACACACCCCTGCACCCCCCCAAGGGAGCGCCTGGACTGGATTGGAAGTCAGGGGGCCTTGGTGGTAAGTCAGGGGCCAGGCCCCAAGATGCCCCACTGTAGCTACGGGCCTAATTCCTACTCTGCCTACACAGAATAATGTCAGGTAGCCAGGAGACACACCCACTTGGTTGCTACATTGTTACGTGTTCCACTGTTCAAGCTTAAAGCAGAAATTGTTAGGAACAGCTCAGGAACTGCTCTTCAATATTTGTAGGCAAGAAATGGCACTGCAGTCTACAGTGCACATGCTCTACCTGTTGTCCACAAGGCCAAATGTTCTGTAAAGTATCTTCTTACTAATACGGAGAAACACACCTATGCAATCTGAATTGGTAGACTGAAGGAACACTGAGCTAAAATGCAATGTCTGATTAATTTTAATGCTGCCCCCTTGAAAACCTATTACTAAAGGATGATAGGGAAACGGCAGAGAAGCTGAATGCATTTTTCGCCACTGTCTTCACTGTGGAAGATGGGAGGTGCTTGCCCACTCCAGAACCACCAATTTCAGGAGGGGTGTCAAAAGACCCGAGTCGGATTGAGATGGTGAGAGAGGAAGTCCTATGACTGATGGACAAATTAAAAACTGACAAATCACCAAGCTCAGATAGCATACATCCAAGAGTTCTGAAAGAATTCAAATGTGAACGTGTAGATCTCCTGACTAAAATCTGCAGTCTATCACTAAAATCTGCCTCTATTCCTGAGGACTGGAAGGTAGCTAATGTAATCCCCGTCTTGAAAAGAGGTTTCAGAGGAGATCCGGGAACTTACAGGGCAGTCAGTCTAACGTTGATACTGGGTACGTTGGTGGGATCAGTTATCAAAGATAGAATTAATAGGTATATTGATGAATAAACGCTATTGAGGAAGAATCAGCATGGATTCTGTAAGAGAAGATCTTGTCTCACTAACCTTTTAGAGTTCTTTGAGGGGATGAACAAATGTGTGAACAAGGGTGACACAGTAGATGTATACCTAGACTTCCAGAAAGCTTTTGATACAGTTCCTCGTCAAAGGCTGCTAAGTAAACTCAGCATTCATGGGATAAGAGAACAAGTCCTCCTGTGGATTAAAAACTGGTTAATTAACAGGTAACAAAGAGTGAGTATAAATGGGCAGTTTTCCCAGTGCAAGCTGGTAAGCAGTGGGGTACTGCAGGGCTTGGGACTAGGTCTGGTGCTTTTTAACGTGTTCATTAATGATTTGGAGTTGGGAGGAAGCAGTGAAGTGGCTAAGTCTGCGAATGACACTAAGCTGTTTAGGGTGGTGAGAACCAGGGGAGGACTTTGAGGCACTCCAGAGGGATCTGTTGAGGCTGGGAAAGTGGGCGTCAATGTGGCCAATGAGGTTCAATGTGGGCAACTGCAAAGTAATGCACATTGGAGCCAAAAATCCTACATACACATACATATATATATATACATATACATATATATACACACACACACTGATGGGGTCTGAACTGGAGGTAACTGACCAAGAGAGAGATCTTGGAGTTGTGGTAGATAACTCACTAAAATGTTGACTCAGTGTTCAACTGCAATAAAAAAGGCAAATGCTATGCTGGAGATCATTAGGAAGGGGACTGAAAACATCAGCCAGTATCATAATGCCCCTGTATAAATCTATAGTACAGCCTCATTTGAAATAGTGTAAAGTTCTGGTCACCACAACTCAAGAAAGCATTGGACAAAGTGCAGAATAGGGCAACTAAAATGATAGAGAATGGAAAACCTCTGAAGAAAGGTTTAAGAGGTTAGGGCTCTTTAGCATGGAGAACCGATGATTGAGGGGTCACATGACAGAGGTTTACAAAATTATGCATGGGATGGAGAAGGTAGAGAAAAGTACTTTTCTCCCTTTCTCATGATACGAGAACTCCTGGGCACTCAGAAGAAGAAGAGATTGGATTTATACCCCGCCCTTCACTACCCAAAGGTGTCTCAGAGCGGCTTACAAACTCCTTCCCCTCCCTACAACAGACACCCTGTGAGGTAAGTGGGGCTGAGAGAGCTCTTGACAGAAACTGCTCTTTTTCAAGGACAGCTGTGCCAGAGTTATGGCTTGCCCAAGGCCATCCATCCAGGTACAAGTGGAGGAGTAGGGAATCAAACCCGGTTCTCCCAGATTAGAGTCCGTGCACTTAACCACTACACCAAACTGGCTCTCAGTTTGAATGAACGGTATGCTTAATGAACAATAGGCTTAGAACAGATAAAAGGAAGTACTTCACCCAGAACCTGGGTCTCTCCAGGCCTAGTCCAGTACTGTAACTACTATACCACTCTGAAGGAATGAGAAATACCAGAACACTTCATCTTTGGAGATTTTCAGACAGAGGCTAGATGGCTATCTGACAGCAATGCTGATTCTATGAACTTAGGCAGATCATGAGAGGGAGGGCAGAAAGGGTTGTCTCAGTGCTTAGTTCTTGTGACTCTTACACACCCAGGAAAATGCTGATTGCCACTTTGGGGTCAGGCAGCAATTTTTCTCCAGGCCAGTTTGGCCAGGATCCTGGAGGTGTTTTGTCATCTTCAGGGCATAGAACAGTGGTCCCTGCAGGTGTGAAAGGGGAGGTATTTGTGAATTTCTTGCATTGTGCAGGGGGTTGGACTAGATGACCTTGGAGGTCCCTGCCAACTCTATGATTCTATGATTTCCTGTCCCTTCTTACAAACAGTATTTTAATGTATGCTGTTTAGCATCATGCTTCAGAGGGCTGACACTTGGAGCCACCCCAGTAGTTAAAAAATGAATGTAATTTGTATGTAATGTAAAAGACATACGGATATTTGCCTTACAAAACTTGTTAAATCTTTTGAAAAGACCAGGTTTTCTAAAATCATGTACTGCTTGTCACAAGAATTTCACAGAAAAAGACATAAATTAATTTCCTCACAACGTGATGGACGTTACACAACATGCACTGAGAAGAACTGGTCTTGCGTCATGCAGATATATGTGTGGCTCTGTAACAGCCAGAGGTTCAGTATTTCTTCTTTTCACTTCCTACAAGTAGGCAGAAGGGGTTCTTGCTCATTGTTTGAGGAGGAAGTGGACAGATCATTATTTCTTTCAAAGGGAGCTTGTTTGGGAGGGAAGCAGTTATTTGATTAAGAATCAGGCGACAGGTAAGGCTAATTCCTGTAGTAACTTGTATAGAGTTATATTTAGTTTTGAACATTGTAGTTTGTATGCTCATAATCAGTAGCATGGATTCTCAGGAATCCGCTGTACAAAAACAATATGTAGCTAACTCTGAGATCTATTCCATTGTTACTACAAAAGACTGACTGCTCATATTCATACTGAATTGGAGGATGCAGTAAAAATTGTATGGTAACTAGGGAGATTTCTGGGTCTTTCTCAGGTGTTGTTTCTTATCTGTATGCCTCAGTGTGCTTGTTTGCTGAAGCCATATTGTCAGCATGCTCATTTGTTCCCTCCTTCTCACCTGATCCTTCGGTATCTTGAACCTTTAACATTGCTTACTTTCCTGCTTGTCCATTGATCCAGTGAACAATTAATCTCACAGATTAATTTTAAAAAGTCTTGCTGCACCACAGAAGGTTATGCTATAATAAATGTGTTAGTCTTGGAGGTACCACAGTTTACTTTTGCTGCAAAAGGCATAATAGGGCTACCGCACTGGGATTTGTACTTAAACGTTAATTGTGCACCTTGTGGAGAACAAAATAATGCCCTTGTATTCATTTTAGACCGACTTCATTTTAATTTTGGAGAAGTCAAAGGGACTTGGGACTGATTCAGAATAAGGAAAAGAAAATTGTACTGTAATCTTGATGATTATTGAAATTTATTCATTAAATGTTTATCCCAACTTTTGAGCAAGGAGCTCCAGGTTCCCCTCCTGCATTTTACTCACACAGGGGTCCAGAAATAGTGGCTGGTCCAGGGTCACTCACTGAGTTTCATGAGGAGCAGGGATTTGAACCTGGGTCTCTCCAGGCCTAGTCCAGTACTGTAACTACTATACCACTCTGGCTGACCACTTCAGCCTGAAGGACTGAGAAATACAAGAACACCTCATCTGCAAGAGTATTAAAAAAAAAACCCACTCCCTCCCACTCTCTTACACATTTAAGCTTGCCGTTCCTCCAAAAATCCACTCAACCACACTCTTAATTTAAGAACTGTTTCTCGCCTGCAGTGTAATTAACTTTCCTAATTTCCTGTATGATTCCCAGTATTGGGACATCTGAGATTTCTGCTTGACTTTTACAAAGAATGAAGTAAAATGTTTTTATTTATTTAAAATATTTCTATGCTGCCTTTCTAGCCAAATAGAGTTCTCAAGGCAGTGGACATCAAAACATTAAAACATAAGAGTAACATTTAAAATAAAGTATATATAAAATATTTAAGCAATTCAATAAAAACATATGATCTATATATCTAATAGCCAAGTTGCCCCCTCCGTGTGGATATCTAAATCCACACATCGGGGGCACTTGGGGGGCAGGGAGATTTTCCTGCACATTTGTGGCAATTCCTAGGTGTGCAGAAAAATCTAAAAAGTTTAAAAAACTATAGGAGGGATACTTAAATCCCCCCAAAGTAAAACAGTGTTCTCTGTGCATGCGCAGAGAATGCCCTGGCAACTGTCTCCCCGCCGCTCACCTGCTGCTGCTTCTCCTTCTTCTGCAGGTGGGGAGCTGTGGGGAATACTTCCCCTCCCCGCGAGTATCGTGGGTCCCACTTCTTGTATATTCTAATTTTCAACCAGGTAAAATCTGAGGATACTTAAATCCAGTGATTGGAGCCATGGACAAATAAGACAGATTGTTCTACAAACCTGAAAAATGTCCCAGGCTTGCAGAAAAAAATTGAGATTAGATGATGATGATGGTGATGATAACAACACCAATGATAACAACAAATGTTGACTTTGCGAGAAAAAGGATGAAACAGTTGACCACATGGTCAGTGCCTGCAGTAAAATTGCTCAAACTGACTATAAAGAATATCATGATAGAGTTGCAGCTATGTTGCACTGGAATCTTTGGAGATAAAAATAGGGCTGAGGCCAATGGTGCAAAACCAGGTAAAAATATATACTTTATTACTCAATTAAATTTCCAAAAATCCCCTACACGTTTTGCAAACAGGCTTCATCAAGGGAATCTGTTCATCTTGCAGTAGTTCTTCAAAAAGAGTAAAGGATCAGTACTGGCTAGATCTCAAATTGCAGAACACAATCTACTAGTCAAATATCTGACTGTGACAATCCATCATCATCACCACCACCATCACCATCATCATCATCATGATAATAATACATTGAGGGGTTAAAAAACTCAAATTATAAAAGGAGTACTTGTAGCTTTAAGAAATGGAAGTCCTCAGTGGCAGTTGCTAGGCGATCAACAGCATTCCAGGCTTGGTTTCTGTCAGTAAAAAGATAGGCGGAGGGGACAGGAGTGTTCTGGCCTTTGAAGGAAAACTCATTGGGGCCATGCCTGGCTGCAACCACTGGGTGACTTGATACCACCCAACTTACATGACTCACCTAGGCCTGCATGTATGCTACTGTTCAACAGCAGCTACCCTATGAAAGCCAGTGTGGTGACCCCTGTGGTTAAAGTAAAATAACGTATCTTGACGAAATAAGGAAATTTAAAAGGTTTAAATATTCTGTAAAAATTCCCTGATGAACCAAAAATGAAGAATAATGTGTAATACAATGTATCTACAGAAGCTTTATGTCATTGGCCACTTTATAATATAAGAAAAGTGTATATATAAGAGTTTAATTGTGAAAACAGTGCCATAATACTGTATTTTTTCAGAAATTCAATGTTTGGTGTAGTGGTCGAGTGTGTGGACTCTAATCTGGGAGAACCGGGTTTGATTCCCCACTCCTCCACTTGCACCTGGCTGGATGACCTTGGGCAAGCTGTAATTCTGATAAGAGCTGTTCTTGAAAAAGAGCAGTTTCTGTCAAGAGCTCTCTCAGCCCCACCTACCTCACAGGGTGTCTGTTGTGGGGAGGGGAATGGTAAGAAGTTTGTAAGCCGCTCTGAGACACCTTTGGGTAGTGACGGGCGGGGTATAAATCCAATCTCCTCCTCCTCCTCCTCTTCTTCTTCTTCTTTAATAGAAATGGAACACAAAATGCCAGCAAGGGTGTTTTTGTAACATATCTGCCTGGATAAATATAAGAAAACCAATTTTGTAACCGAACTGATAGATTTTATACTGAAAATGAACTTAGCGCCTTTGTGTGTATAAAGTTCATTCAAAGGTGAAGTCTGGGGAAATAGCAAAAGAGGATACATCAATCGTTTTTAATGAGAAGAGCACCTGCATTGTAAAGTTGAGACGCAGCCAAGTAACATCCTGTTTGTCAAACATATGATTGATGACTGACCAGACAAAGAAATCTAAACTGAGCATGTGTAAATGATGTCAATGATGATGTAAAGTGAGGAGGAGCAAGAAGAGCATATAAGCAAGATCCCTGCTGTAACACACTGAACATCTACCAGCTGTGAGGTGTTACTTTATTCGAATAAATTCTTTTGTTACCCTTTACTGCCTGGATAATTGTTTTACTGTGTGGTTTATCAGATAGCCACACAAGTCAAAGAACCTTAGCGCTCTCAGGGCGTTGGGATCACTTGCTTGGATGTAAAGCTTATTGAGCAACTATGCACTGTCTGTCCAACTAATCTATCTCACGTGACTGTTATGTATAAAATTAATTAATCTCATCTATACTGTCTTGAATTCCTTGGAGAAAGTCTGGGAAACAAATATATAGTGGTCTGGAAGCTTTCCCCTTGATTGATTGGTTGATTAAATGTATTTATACCCAATTTTTCAGCTAGATTGGTTCCAAAAGCAGCTTCTAAAAGCAGCTTCAGAATACTATCTGTCACTTTCTATGAACAATTTCATTATTTTTTTCTCACACACACAATAAAGAAGACTTCACCAAATACTGCAGAAATTGGTAGATGTGATGGGTAGGGAGTATCCTGGATGTTAATCCTCCAGTCCCATCCAGCTTCCCAACTTTTGGTGGCTTCAATAGTTGGGCCACATGGTGACTTTGCCAGTGATGAGGACTACCCTCCTGGCAGTGTGCCTCAACCAAAATATCTTGGGCTGCGCATACTGAAAAGAAGGAACAAATATTGTAACAAGTAATACATACTAGCAGTATATACAAGGTTTGGTGTTAAAATAATTTATTTATCATCACTTTGCTTTGTTTTCCATTTTGAACAGAATGGCTACCCAGGAGGCTTTTGCAGAAGATCCAAAAGACAGTAAAATTTTTGAGCTGGATATTTCTTACTTAGAAGCTCGCTACCCTAATGTGAATTTTGATTTTCACAAGCTGGCAGAAGAAATGGAAGAGGAATATCAGCCAATCCGCGAGCAATTAAAAAAGGAGTTTAGGTTTAATTCCACCATGAGAAATGAGGCCCAGCGGTTAAAAACCTTCCTGTCCCAGCCTAGTAGTAACTCTCGATCTGCGTGGGCCCCATCAGAGATGTCTGCAGCTGGCTTCTACTACACTGGTGTTAAGTCAGCAATACAGTGTTTTTGCTGTGGGTTAGTTCTGCTTTCAAGAAGTATCACAAAAAACCCTTATGCAATGCATAAGAAGTATCAGCCAGATTGTGAATTTATTTTAGGAAAAGAGGTTGGCAATATCTCCAAGTATGACGTCCGTGTTCAAAATCTAGCTAAGAGCTCTACAGAAATAAAAAAGGTTTATGAAAGTGTGGAGCTGAGACTTGAGTCCTTTGCCTCCTGGCCATTGTATGGCCAAGAAGTACAGCCTGCTCTGCTAGCTAATGGTGGATTTTTCTTCACAGGTAAATTGTAAAGATTTTTTTCAACAGAATGGGATGTTCCTGCTTTCTGCCGGAATTGCTTCTACCATAGTCTATTCTCATACCATTTAATATGGGAGGGTTCCTTTTCGAAAGTAAATTTGTCTATAATATTTATTTATTTATTCATTAATATTTATAGTGTATTGTATCTGTCTAGCGAGTGAATGTGTAATTTAATATATCCATTACATAAATACATAAATCTGATTACCTGCTCCATCCTGTCCATCTAGAAAGGGCCCATTTTGATGCCTGAAACAGAAAATGTAAATGGTACAATTATTATTATTATTATTATTATTATTATTATTATTATTATTATTATTATTATTATTATTATTATTATTATTATTATTATTATTATTATTATTATTATTATTATTATTATTATTATTATTATTATTA